ATATGTGGCTTACCCAAAATGTTTTTCACATTTGGATCAAGATAAAACTTTAACGTTTCTTCCCACACCGGGTTAGCTGTGTTGTTTTTCGCTTTGGTTCTCTTCCTGCCATTTGGTGCTGTTCTAATGAACAGTTTTACGTATGGATCCGGTGTATCAACTGAAAGATAAAGGAGAATTTTATTTCATCTACAGGGAGGATGGGACGGGGGGTAACAGAAACATGTGCCGTGATTTTCTCACAAGAAAGTGAGTGCAAACAACTTTCGCTAATCAATCAAACTGTATCTCTGTCTTTAGCCATTTACATGAATGTAAATGAGTAGTTACAGAGTCCATAGATGGAGCAATCTCATGAATTGACTTATAGATCATTATTTCGTTACTCCCACCGACGCAGCCCCAAACAGTTTCTTTCGAAACTATCAGCCTTTATAGATCATTACAGACAACAATAAAGCGGGTAAGTTTCTACAGAAACTGTGATGCCGCGTCGGTGGGGGTAACAAGGTAATTTGGTTTTATGAACTGAGTTGAGAATGTAAACTCAGCTGGCCACCGTCAAGAGTCTAAAAGCTGACGTTTCGAGCGAATGACGATGGGCTAACCTGAACGCTCGAAATTACAGACAACCGCTGGTCAGGTGAATATCATCTCAACTTCACTGAAGGAAGTGGTAAAACATGGAGGCTGGAAAGGTTTGGCTGTCGATGTTTGTTTTCAATGTTATCATACTCACCCCAGTCAGAATAAGTGCCCAGGGTTATATTCCGTCCACGTACTACTTTGATATCGAGTACCAAACACGGCCTGTACAAGGCCTACAAAAAAAGAGCGAGATAACTACTGAGCCTTTGTAATAGTGTTAGTCAACTGGATTGCCGAGCTAATTCAGAATAGGACTTAGGGAAAGCTAACGTACGTGCAAAGCCTCTGAAATGGTTCGTGGAGGATACGAAACAGAAGGAAAAGGATATCAAGAATCTCACTATGCCTTTCTCAAAACACGCATCCTATTTCAAGGTTACTTGTTTCGTATGACCAAAAAGTTGGAAAGAATCAACGCCAGTTGTGGTTCTGCATACATCCAAGAGAAAATAATGGGTACCACTGTCGAAAACGGCATAGGGTAAAATATGGAATGGACTGGACTGTTTTTTGGACGATTTTGTAAGGGAGGGAGGCAAACCTTAGTACTCAGGGAAGGGTGGGTGCAGTCGACAAGTACTGAGGGAGGGGTGGGGAAGAGTGTTATTACTCAGGGAGTGGTGGTAGGTGGTTGTAATTGTAAACATTACTGGTTAATGGAGCTCTTGCTGGATCGTAATAATTATTTTAATCAGTTTTTCAACTGACTTCTACATCAACATTTTGCGCTGGGCCGTGGCGTTTCTTTAATTTTTTAGCCATGCGAAAGCGAAACTACCACGTAAACACTGGACTTTCATTCTTATTGAAAATATCGCGTTTACGATCCTCTACTGCTTCTCGGGCAAATATTTGTTTTAAGAACATCAAATTTCCGCGGGGCAACTATCAGCCGATAGTTCCTCGACAGAAACACTCTATTGTTTAACTGGGTAGTTCGGTGTAGTGCAAAATTCTGTGATCTCGTCTGATAAGATCACTGACAAAAGGAAGATATATAAATTCAGTAATAACATAATGTATGGAAAACGTGAAGCAACTGATAGTGCAAACAGAAGTCGACTCAAAAGGCACATGGATAACTCAACAATGGAGGATCGTAAACGCAGTATTTTAAATATAATTTTAAGTCCAGTGTTTACGTGGCAGTTTCGCTTTCGCATAACGGAAATTCCGAGATCTCGTCTGATAACATCAGTGACAAAAGGAAGAGAGATAAATCTGGTAATTACACACTGTATACACGTTTTTCGAGGTGTGCGTTTTCGAAGTGTGCGGTCTGCGGTCTGCGTTTTCGAGGTCTGTGTTAACGAGACACCTGAGAGAATATTGCTTTGTACGACTGTACCAAAAATGATTTCATATAGTAAACGTGCAAACGTTGAAATTGCGATGCGCTTGTGAATTCTATATTTGTCATATTTGCGGCTAAAGTCAAGGGCCAAGGAACGGAAATTCTGTGATCTCGAGCTCGTCTGATAACATCAATGACAAAAGAAAGATAGATAAATCTGGTAATTACACAAAGGAAAACTGATGGTGCACAAGTCGACTCAAAAGGCACACGCATAACCTATACCAGACTGGTAACTCAACAGTGGACGATCGTAAACGCGATATTTTCAATAAGAAATAAAGTCCAGTGTCTACGTGGCAGTTTCGCTTTCGCATGGCTAAAACATTAAAGAAACGCCGCGGCATAGCTCAAAATGTTGATGTAGGAGAAGTCAGTCAAAAGACCGATTAAAATCATTTTACCTTAGAGGAGTCAAAGTAATTACTTTTGTGGTCGACTTTGGAGAGCTGGGAACAAAAGATTTAATGGCGTCAGAAGAATATGTGCCTCCTTTGG